CAGCCTGGGGCAGATAGCCTGAAGACAACATAAGGGAGACAGACTTGTTCTCTGCACCATTGTTGCTGCTGCTCCTCCCTTTTGCTCTTGCTGATTTTGCTGTTTTCCATAGCCATGAACTGCTGTCCTCTGCCATGTGACAGTCTACTTCAGAGCTAGCTGAGTATGGACTGAAACCTCCACAAGCTGCGAGCTAAATAAACCTTTTCTTCCTTCATTTTTTGTGTCAGGTATTTTGTCCCAGCAATGAGAGAAAAGTCACTGAGACAGTAGGTACCCTTGGTTAGCACGGCAGCCTGTTTCCTTGTAGTCTCTGCATTACCTTTTGTTTCTCCAGTTTCTCTGTAGTGTTTTAGTTTTCCTGTCAACTCTTTCTTAATTTCAAGGGATCTACTCTTCTTTCTTCACTAAGTTGTTGTTTTCCAATTGTCTTTGACTCTAGGTTGTGGAGAGGCTGGGTTTTGCTGCTGGTCTTTACTTGCCAATTTTCTGTGTGTGTGTGTGTGTGTGTGTGTGTGTGTGTGTCTATTGCATCATCTAAGAGGAGGCCCAGTGTTGGGCGCCAGCGCCCTACATGCTTGCCCTCCCCCACGGGGGATTTCCAGAGCTAAGCTTAACCTCTGCTGGCGCATTCTATTTGGCTAAGAGCTGTTACAACCAGGCACTTGCCCATTGGCTGGTTTAAGACACGCAGCCTTATTTGATTGGTCCTGGGGAGTATAAAAGAGGATGTTACGGAAGGTCCGGGGTAGTTCGGCGGAGGAGTTCGGGAAGTAGTTCGGCGAAGTAGTTCGGTTGAGTAGTAGTTCCGGGGAGAAGTTCGGGGGAGAGAAGAATAAAGAGAAGTTTAAGCACCATCTGACTCGCGTGTGATTTCAACGAGCGCCCGACAGCCCAGTGTGTGAAAACAAAATTGTAGAACAAGCTTACTTGGATTCAAATTCTGGCTCTACTACTTGCTAGCTTATTCCAGTTCTAAATCTCATTTCCTGATTTCTCTAATATATCAAATGGAAAAACTAATTGTCTATATATTTTAGCACTGCTGTAAGGTTTAAGTGGCTAATAATGCTATGCTAAACAACTTAAGCATTATGTTTAATTCTCTTAAAATATTACAGTATACTTAATCATATTTTTTGTCTTCTTTTGCTGTTTCTTTCCTTTTGTTCTTTCTATTTCCATTGCCATTTTTCATGTTAGAGCCTCCCTGGCCTTAGTTATTCCCTTAGTCTGTTTTCTGTTGCTATTAATTAAATACTTGCCACATCTGGTGCAGCTCTCGTACTTCCCGATGGGGTAGACGGTGGAGGATGAAGAAATGCAGACAAGAGTCAAATGCAGAAAGGTGAGGTCAAGTGGAGCCTTCTCTCTGGATGAAAGAGAACTGCTCAAGAACTGAAACACGTTTATTTATACACTTGGAAGTCTATTATTAGTTGACACCCTCTGCCTAGCAACTTGATTGTTTAGCTCGCCTCAGGACGCTTCACATTCTTGGAGCTGGAACAGCTTGCTCACATGCCTCGCCTCGGACACTCTGCACGCGTGACCAATCTCCAGCTTCAGCTACTCCCCACAAATACCTGTGACTAGTACCTTATAGAGAAAAGAGGCTTATTTAGCCCACAGTTTGGAGGTTAATGAGCAGAGTGCAGGCATCTGCTAAGCTCTGATGAAGGCCTCTTGGAGCATGCTGATGGCCGCACGGAGTTTATGGAAAAACAAGAGACCACGCAGGGCTAGGGTTGCTGAAGACCACTCCACTAGGAACTCATCCCCTCTACCAGACCTCACCCACTGCCAGGAGACCCAGACCCATCACACCCACCACCTCAGTGCTGCCATACTGGGGACTGAGCTTCCAGGCACATGAACATGTAGGGGACATGAACCGCACAAAACCATAGCACTTAACCTCCTTACACAGGGCTGGCATTAAAGTGCTGAAAGTTCTCTCTACAGAGACACAGTTTGTCAAGTAATGTGGCCTAACAACAAAGCATGCCCCTTCCCCTGTCCTGAGAGAACTGGAGACCCTGTGAGTTCAGGGACTTGTTGGTAGACACCATATTGGCTGCATCTACAGCGTAATAGGTGGCCAGTAGATACTTGATGTCATTATTAAACCACTTCAAGCCATTCTCTGTTCATACGAAAAGTGTGGTAAAACATTTACCAATACTAAAAGAATGCATATAGTCATGTAAAGCACCAGCATAGTACTTGGCATTTAGCAGATGCTAAACATGTAACTACTAGCAATATATATAATTTTACTACTAGCAATATTATCACTAACAGTTCCACAGACAACAGGGCTGCTGCTTCATGATCATTCATGCTCTCCATTGACCGTGTTAAAAAAAAAAAAAAAAAAGAGGCGAGGTATGGTACTTGGGGTGACGCTAGTCTACTTATCAGCGGTAAGTAAAGCAAGGCAAGGACTCCAGATAAGCACCCTTGACGGCCGGTGTGTAGAAACCCTAAGAACACTGGCTTCAGTAGTGATCCTGAAAGCAGAGGCTGGAGAGTGACACCGCTTCACCAAGCACCTCCGTGGAGCCACCGTTCACACAGATGTTGCCTATGGTCTATGGCCAGGCCCAGTCTATTACAGTAGAGGGTTGGAGGAGGTCCAGCAATGAGCCTCTGCTCCTGCAAACCCAGACACATTTTGCAGAGAAGTTGATTTATTTTTGTTTTCCAGACTAGAGATTTTAAACATAAATAGTATGTGCTATAGTTTTTTTAATCAATCAGTACACAAGGGTGTGATGGAAAAGATAACCCTGTCATCTTCAAATCTTCATGCAGATATTTATTATCGATATTTTAATAATATTTATTATCAATATTTTAATGTATATACTAGGATAGATGCATAGTTTTTCCCAGACAGCAATCATAAAAAAACTGCTTTTAATTATGCTTTTTATCCTTTCATATATCTTTCAAATCAGTACTATGTATAGATATGTCTCATTTTTAGCTACTCCATTTATAAGAGAATATGACAGATAAGCCCCCGGATCTCAATGACTTAAAGTTCACTTATCACGTAAATCCAGTTGTTGGTTGAATGTGAAGTGGGAGAAGGCAGCTGGTCTACTCCGAGCTCTTGTCCAGGAATCCTGAATGACTCAGTGCCCTGCCAACTTGAACGTGTGACTTCCACACACTTGGTAGCATCTAAAGTCACTGCAGATGACAATATCCAGCCATCTCTTGAGGTGATATTAAACTATTTTCTTTTACAAGACAGGGTCTTGCTATGCAGTTCAGGCTGGCCTCAAGCTCACTTTGGAGCCCAGGCTAGGCTCAAACTCACAACAATCCCCCCCACCTCCACCTCCCTCGTGCTGGGATGACAGGTATGTGCCACCACACTGGCTATTTAAACTACTGAAGGCTGGCATTCCTCATTTCTTCTGCTTTTTTTGTCTTTTGTCAGAACCAAGGTTTTGCGGAGGCAGGCAATCCATTGTTAAGAGAACAAATCCGCGGCCTTGCTCATGCTAGGCAAGTTCTCTACCTCTGAGCTATGTCCCCACCCCAAAGGCAAGTTTCTAAAGTATGGGAAAATATTACCTGGTAACAAAAATCAAACAAACAAATGAACAAACAAAAAATTTCTTTAAGGGGGCCGGGGAGATGGCTCAGTGGAATAAGCGCTTCCCTGGCAAGTGCAAGGGTCTGAGTTCGATCCCTGGTTCCACCAAAACAAAACAAAACAAAAATTTCTTTAAGGGGAAAGGGAGATGGCTCAGTGGAATAAGCATTTCCCTGGCAAATGCAAAGGCCTGAGTTCCAGTCCTCAGTTCCACAAAATAAAAAAAAATTAAAAAAAGAAAGAGCTTTGGGGTCAGGAAGACAGCTCAGTGGAATAAGCGCTTCCCTGGCAAGCACAAGGGCCTGAGTTCAATCCCTGGTTCTGCAAAAAAAAAAGAATTAAGAAATAGGAAAATGCACATCCATAACCACTAGCTTTGGCTTGGTAGAGAAAAGACTATTGAGGGCCGGGGAGATGGCTCAGTGGAATAAGCACTTCCCTAGCAAGTGCAAGGGTCTGAGTTCAATCCCCGGTTCCGCAAAAAAAAAAAAAAAAAAAAAGAAAGAAAAGACTATCAATTGAAGATCTTTATAGGATGTATACCTTTGACTCAGGAATACTGTTAAGGAAATTTCCTATGAAAATTAATGGATCCCTGCTCACATTTGCATGAACAATACAAGAATATTTACAATAGTAACATCAGTAGCCCTATAAGTAACCTAAAGGTCCAACAATGGAGAACTGTTTAAATCACTGTACATCCACATAATGGGACAGTCTGCAGGTATCACAAATAATTATTTAGAGCTGGATGCGGTGACGGACACCTGTAATCCCAGCACTCTGGAGGCTGAGGCAGGAGGATTGTTGCAAGTGTGAGACCAGCCTGGGCTACAAAGTGAGCTCAAGGGCAGCCTGAATTGCAAAGCGAGACCCTGCCTCAGAAAGACAAAAAAATAAATAAATAAATAAATAATAATAATATATATTATTTAGATAACTGCAAACAAAAGTATGTCCATGATATATTATAATAAAAAAGACTCATATGGTACAATTTTTTAAACAAATTGATTACTTGTAGCAAAAGATACAGGCCCATCTACATCTGAATGTTTACCATATTTCTCTTGATAGTACACCATTTGCCTTTTTTCTTTCCTTTCTACCTTTACACACTATCTCAATACTTTATTATCAGAAGAAACAACATACTTTCATTTCAGTGTGAAAGGAAAAAACTAAAAAGGAGATAAAAGGGATTAGGCGGGTGAAGGCAAGTATGCGAGTGGGGCAGGCCTCCTACCCGAGTGTTGGGTCTGTCATCTGACACTCAGGCTACTATCGGGAGCACTTTCCCCTGTCAAAGTGACTGGCTTTTGTCCCGCTATCTCTAGGTTATAAAGGGAGGGCAGGGGAGCCTCGGGTCAGTGAGCAGAAAGCCCCCGCGCCCTCCAGAGAGCTTAGGGGCAGGGGCTCCCTGTGCCTCCAGCTCCGCATGGGGAACATCATCAGGGCCCTCGTGGCCTTCATCCCTGCTGACCGCTGCCAGAACTACGTGGTCAGAGACCTCCGGGAGATGCCCCTCGACAAGACTGTGGATGTGAGCGGGAGCCAGCTGCGCCGCCTCCCCGTGCACGTGTGCGCCTTCACGGAGCTGGTCAAGCTCTACCTGAGTGACAACCATCTCAACAGCCTGCCTGCAGAGCTGGGGCAGCTGCAGAACCTGCAGATCCTGGCCTTGGATTTCAACAACTTCAAGGCTCTGCCCCAGGTGGTGTGTACCTTGAAGCAGCTCTGTATCCTCTACCTGGGCAACAACAAGCTCTGTGACCTCCCCAGTGAGCTGAGCCGGCTCCAGAACCTGCGGACCTTGTGGATCGAGGCCAACTGCCTCACGCAGCTGCCGGAAGTGGTGTGCGAATTGAGTCTCCTGAGGACTCTGCACGCGGGCTCCAACGCCCTGCGACTGCTGCCGGGCCGGCTCCGGCGCCTCCGCGAGCTGCGGACCATCTGGCTGTCGGGCAACCTGCTCACTGACTTCCCACCTGTGCTGCTTCACATGCCCTTCCTGGAGGTCATTGATGTGGACCGGAACCGCATCCGATACTTCCCCAGCCTGGCCCACTTGTCCAGCCTGAAGGTGGTCATCTACGATCACAACCCGTGCAGGAACGCACCCAAAGTGGCCAAAGGTGTGCGACGCGTGGGAAGATGGGCCGAGGAGACGCCAGAGCCCGACCCCAGAAAAGCCAGGCGCTACGCACTGGCCCTGGAGGAAAATCCGGAGCCACAGGCCCCCGCTCCGCCTCCTCCACTTCCTCCTTCCAGTGCCTGAAGAGCGGTGGCTGCAGGTCAGTCCAAGGACCCCACTCCAGCGTGCTCTGAGGACCTCTCCATTAGAGGGGAAGGCATTTTTCTGGGTCACTGGCCGGCCTGCTGGAGAGCCAGGTGAAATGCCACAGAGCAACGCTGCGGAAGCCTTCTTGTCCAACAGTGTGTCTTTCAAAGGGAAGTTGTGCCCTGTTGGTGGCTGGGCTATTCAGGGTGATGTTAACTACTTCACAGGAAAAACGGCTTCTCCAAGCAGGTGTCTTGAACCCTGAAGAGTGAGAAGGGTTAGGACACTGACCTCCATTCTGCAGCAAAGGTTGGTCATGAAGGTTGTGAAACGGCTGAAATAAGGCACTTATTAAAGAACCTGCTAGACGTTCCGGTGGCTTGCCCTGGCCCTTCGCAGGATGTGTTTTCTTTACGGTGAATGGTATCTATGCATTGTTACCAATGCGGGCCACTGCCAGTAGGACATTTCTACCTAGGTTGTCACATTCACGGGAGGTGGGGGGCACCTGTTTGTTGTGCCTGGGCTCAAGATGAAACATTTTCCCAAGTTTAACACTCTGAAGACTCCTGCCAGAGAATGCCTCTTGGGGTCCAGCTGCCAATGGTTCACACTGATGTCACTCGTTTTTTTCCTTGAAAGCCTGGGGCAAGGTCTGCTCCCCAATGTGTATTGTCACTGAGGACCTTAGGGGTCATCTGAAAGGTAGTCTCACTTGTGTGCAGTCCCGCTGTTCCCAGCCAAGCCCCTTCCGCCCCAATAGAGACCTCCTAGTTCCCTGTCCTTGCAGGAATGCCACACCCCTGGAACTACACAAAGCAAAAGGAGTAGGTGAGAAGTTGTTCCTCTGAAGCTTAAACTGCAGGCTGGAGGTTATGCTAAACATCTCCTCTGCCCTTTTCACCTCAGCGTTCCTGCTTCTGTTTCCACTTGTTTTCATTTTTAAAGACAGGCTCTCTTGCCAGTGCATAAACCTAGTTACTTTGGTCTTTATTTTTTTGGAAGCATATAAACCTTCTCATGAAAACTTTAACTTGAAAGATACTGCTGTCAGTGTTTATAAGCTTTTTTTTTTTAATTGTATTTATGTGTGTGTGTGTGTGTGTGTGTGTGTGTGGCCAGCTCAGCCCACCAGAGGGCGGGGCTGGCTGGCATGTGGTGCTGGGGGATTGAACCGAGGTCCCTGTGCTTTGCCAAGCTTGTTCTAAGTAGGTGCTTTAGACCACTGAGCCATCTCACCAGCCCCGTTCATAAGCTTTTTCAAGACAAAAGACACAGAAAGTGTCTTCCTAATGGAAACAAACTGTACTGAGCTTTTAAAAGTGCTTGTCCCAGAACAGCATCTTAACCCAGCAAGTTTTTGTTCTAAAATAAAGTAGCAAAGCAGACTATCTTTATGAATAGTTCTGTACCAGAAATACTTCTCGCTGCACTGCAGATGTCTGTGACATCACATTATTCCTTCCTATCACCTGCCAAGCCTCTGCTAGCCATCGATCAGCCTGCTGAAGAATCCTTTCGATCATTCAGTGTAATAGGCTTATATCTATAAATTGTAGTTATTCTCTAGTAAATAAGCCCAGATTTCAATTAGATAGCTAGGATTTATACTTTCTTCATTCCTAATGATTGAAATATACTGAGCTAAAATCAAGTTAAGTGTTTGCCAGTAAGAATTTGCCTCCTGGGCTGGTGAGATGGCTCAGTGGTCTAAAGCACCTACTTAGAACAAGCTTAGCAAAGCACAGGGACCACAGTTCAATCCCCCAGCACATGCCAGCCAGCCCCGCCCCCTGGTGGGCTGAGCTGCCCCCCCCCACATAGATAAATAAATAAGATTTTAAAAAAAAAAATTTACCTCCTAAGCTTTATCTACAGCAGAGCTTATGGGCTGCTGATTTTCTTTTGAACTGTCTTCTCCCCTTGCCCCAAGATTGACTCCACCTCTTTCAGCATGGCTGCAGGTTACAGCCATAAAATAGTGAAGTCAGTTGATCCGTAAAAGCTCCCATCGCAGAAGCTAACTTCTGAATCGGATGTCAAATTATGAACATTTTGGCTGACTGTCGAGCTGTTTTCTTCTAAAACAATCAATATACAACAAATAAACCTCTTTCAAATAATATGGCTAAGAAATTTTGCTGTCCAAAGATGTTTCACTGTAGGTTTTCAATTAATTTTATAGAGTGTACAAATGCCTGCGGTGCAATCTGATATTTTCTGGAGACATTAGCATCACGCATGGTAAGGGAAAGGGAGTGCTGAGGCACCAAGCAGAACTTTCTTTTCACCTGTGAGTGCTGAATCTGAAGCACTTGTGGGAGGACGTTTCCGTGGTACTGGGGATGAACCCAGGGCCTCACGTGAGGCAAATGCCTCTGAGTGACACCTTCAGGCCTGTTCCCGAGCTTTACACAAGGATTTGTTTTGTTTTTGCGGAACAGGGGATTGAACTCAGGACCTTGCACTTGCCAGGGAAGCGCTTATTCCACTGAGCCATCTCCCTGGCCCCCTACACAAGGATTTTAACTTCCAGAAATAAAAGTGATGACAACAAAATTTTCACATGGATTCTATGAAAAATTCTTTCATTCTGTCTTAAAATATAGCACAATGGTTTGTAACTTCACACCTAAAAAGGAGCATTTGCCTGATGCAGTGATGCACACCTGTAATCCCAGCACTCTGGAGGCTGAAGCAGGAGGATTGTTGCAAGTTTGAGACCAGCCTGGGCTACAAAGTGAGCTTGTCAAGGCCAGCCTGAGCTGCATAGTAAGACCCTGTCTCAAAAAGACAAAGAAAAGGGTGGGGTGGAAGGCATTTGCCCTGAAAATCAACTGAACTGAGGCAACTTTAACTAAAAGCACAGATCAAACGCACCAAGATTCAGAAGCAGTATAGTATCATGGCTCAGGGCCCTCAGACCCCCTGCCTCACATCCCAGCTCTGCCTTGGTTAAAACCTGTGTACACATTTCCTCATCAGTAAAACAGTAAATGTCTACCTTTTATGTAAGGACAAAAACAACTACCATGTTTAAAGGTATGGAAGTGCTTGGCATGTGACAGTAAATGTTCACGTATCATTCCTTTACTGCTATGCAATGCAGCCCAATATTTACCTAAATCAGTCTAACTCCTTGCTTGATGGGAAAGCATAAATGGCTGTAGAACCAGACTACCCCCACCCCAAGTAAATTTTTCTACCATAGAATCTAGTCCTGATTTATAATTGTAATTTGGTCAACTACTTCTAGCTTATGCAGGTACAACACACAGACTTGCACACCAAGGGCTCATTCTTTAAATTTCTACATGAGTGTACTTTGTACCTTCTGGATTCTAAACATTAAAAAAAAAAAAAAAAAAATCAAACTCGAATGGTGCCACATATTTTATTGCCTTGTTATTCTACCTAATCCTACTACCCTAGAAAGAACACTCAGGCTTTCTGAGAAGACCAAAACCCACACACCTTTTCTTCTCCTCTGGACTGTCCACACCTGCAGAACAGGAAGTGGGTCTCATTTAGCTTTGCAGCCCTGGCTGGCACAGCTCTGTGGCGTCACCTGAATACTGACTGTGTCACGCAGCCAGCCCACATGGACGGGCGGACACTCCGGGGACTAGTCACATCTTCAGGTCCTTGAGCAGTGCCTTCACTGAATCCTTCCACTTCCCCTTTGCAAACAGGTGCTACGTACTGGTACTGCATACTTTTCAGTCAGGAAGCCAGGGCTCTAATTTAGTGGCAGAGTGCACGCTTAAGGTGCGTCAGCCCCTCAGCTCCATCCCAGCACCAACCCTAAGTGATACCGATCAGAATCTATTGTTTTCTCTTTACACTCACGTGGGGAATAGGAAAAGTTCTACAGCAAGTCTCTGCTCTTCAGAAAAGGTTTACACTATTGTTCTAATGTACTCCTAGAGTCAAGGCAAATTTTATGTTTTATGGAGTATACACTTTTATCTTTCAGGTCCCTGACAAGAACTGAACTCATGGAGAGACAAAGACCATGACTACACAGGGTAAAGTACAGGGAAGAGTAGGGTAATAGTAACAGTCACCTACAGCAGCTGCTGTTAGCAGCTGAGGATGAGGGAATAGGGAAAATACACGGCCTGTACTAAGGGCTGGGAGCCCTGCAAAAGCAGCTGCCTAGTGAAGACGGCACAGTAGATCGTGCCCAGGCGCAGCTACTCCCAGGAACGGAGCAAAGGCAGGCAGAAGGCAAGGCCCAGCTCCCCCATCCGTTAGCACTCCTGAGTTGCACCTCCAGACCTGTCTGGAGCTGTGCGGCGGTTAGCAAGGCCAAGCCTCCACGGCCACTAGCAAGGAACAGATCCCAAAGGGAAGTGGTTACTGGATTGAAAAATACTCAGCAGCTAAAACAAGTTTTACAGCAGCGACGGTAACCACCATAAATTCCACATCTACTTATGGTTACTTCCACGGTGCTGGGAGTTGCACCCAAAGCCTTGCAGGTGGGTCCAAGCTCTCCCACCAGAGCTACATACAGCACCATCCTGTTCTTTTCAAAGCTACCTTAAACTCCATCTTAAGTGTTCCAGGAATGCAAGGGCCTGGGCCAGACTTACCTGTACACTTGGAATTTTTCCAGGCCCAACAAACTAATCCTGCAGCAACTTCAAAGTATGAGCTAAGAAGGCACAAGGGGGGCTGCAGGAGCAGCACGTCACTACTGGGGCTTCCGCTGTCCTGTGTGTTCTCCACGTGCATTAACTTCCGACTTCTAAAGGCTAAGGGTAGCCAGCCAGCAGAATGCCTGCCTAGCATGTGCAACGCTGGGTTTGCTCCCAATATGAAACAAAAGTTTGCAAATTTTACTAAAGCTGCCTTCAAAATAAAATTCACTACCTACAACACCTATATCCATTCTCATTCTCCCTTGGACTTTCAAAAGTACAAAACCCTTAACAAAATGACAATCAGAAAACTAAATGAATACTGAAGTTTAGGGTACTTTTGCTACACAAAATTAAATCATTAGAGGGGCTGGAGAGATGGCTCAGTGGTCTAAAGCACCTACTTGGAACAAGCTTGGCAAAGCACAGGGACCGTGGTTCGATCCTCCAGCACCACATGCCAGCCAGCCGCGCCCCCTGGTGGGCTGAGCTGGCCACACACACACACACACACACACACACACACACACACACACACACACACACACACACACACACACACACACACACTAAAATAAATGTTAAAAAAAAAAAAAATTAAATCATTAGAATTTGCGTGCCACTGAGCATTATCTGACCTAGTGACAAAGACTAACATATGGTGTGCTGATTACACTTGAACTTGTATCAACATATTTATTTCATAAAAGTGTAAGATCAGGGCTGGCAAGATAGCTCAGTGGACTAAGAGCTTGCTCAGACAAGAGTAGGTTGGACCCCCAGCACCACATGCCACACTGGCCCCACCCTCAGGCACACAGAGCCACTGAGACTGGGTGTGGTGGCGCAGGCCTGTAATCCCAGCCCTGGGGAGGCTGGAACAGGAGGATCACTACAAGTCTGAGCTGCGTAATGAGACCCTGCACCAAATACATTTTTTAAAAAAGCATAAGATCATTAAGTAGAACACCTCTACACTGCAGATCTTCTTCCAGTAAGTAAATTTTAAATGAGGCACAAACACATCAGTAAGACATTGGTACTCTTTTTAGATTTTTTATTTTAATGACAGTAAGAGAAATGAATTTTTATTATCAACTGAATTGTATGGAAAAATCAAACAAAATAAATTAGACCCATGTTAAAACAGAAGGTCAGCTAAGTGTCCAAACATAAGGATATAATGGACACAGATAAGTGTCAACTCCTCAGTCTTTTTTAAGAAGTTGAAGTCTTTCAAATGCAATTTCGCTATGAAGTGGTCCAGATATCAACAGCACATGCGAATGCCGCCTAACAAGGGTGGTGATCAGGGACACGTTTCCTGTAAGAAAAAACATACCTAAGAAAAGAGCAGGGCTAGCGGTAGAGTCTTGGCTAAGGCCTAGGAGAGCCTAGAGGCAACCTCCAGGACCACTGCCACAAAAAAGTTAACAGTTAAAATGAAAAAAATGACTTTAACTGAAGTTGTACACTAAATACAAACAGCTGGTATCTGAATTTTAATAAAATCATCATGGTTCAATGTTCCGTAAGGATATTTCTCATGACTAAAGTTCTTTAATTACAATGGTATAAGGTGGAGCATGAAGACTTGCGGATATGAGCAATTCTCCACTTCTCATCCCACAAAGCTACATTAACCAAGACATAATCCCTAGAAAAAGGTTAATTCACTCAAGTGCACGAGTGTCTGTGTGTATGTAGCACACAAAAATGTTAACAGAAGACAGCTACTGTCTTGTGAAATGACAAGACACTGTGGACACCGAGATGAAAGCGCTGTACCAGATCGCCTGCTACCATCGGGGAGGCTGGTATGGGTGGGTACTATGCTCCACAGGCCAGTATCCCTCTCACCATTTGAGGCTATATAGCGAAGAGACATAAATCTTTTGGGAAGAAGGGATAATAAGATTAGCAGAAAAAATTTTAACTTGATGCTTTGAGGAGCTAAAGTTTAAAAAAGTTTCCACATTGCCAGTGAAGCGGAAGACCCAATACTATTATGGACTACTGAACTCTTTTAGAATATTTTGCTGAGTTCACACACCTATAATATTTAAATGATGGAACTTAA